AACTGTTTCTGTTGCTCACACCGGTTTGAAAAACCCCAAAGTATCCCTGATTCACACAACAACTATAACTATAACAATAATAATAATGACAGGAATTATTACATCATAGAAATCCAGCTGACGAACGATAAAAACATTGATGGCCAATCAAAATTCATCTGACTTACATTTTTCATTTTTGGTGTCAATGTCTAAATATAACTATATCTAAATGCATAAAGAAGAAAATTAGCTTAGAAAAAAAAAAATCTAATTTTTTTTTCAATTCCGTAGCTCCAGTTAGAGCTTTGAGGCCATCTAGTGGCCATTTCTGATATTTTAATTGGTCTTCTCATGCGCTGAAAATATATTTTGTAAAGAATGTGAAGATTGTGCTTATTTTGTATTAACATTATTGGTAAAAACTAGTAATTTAGATTTAAATAAAAGTGAAAAATATCAAAATATACAAAAAAATAAATAAATACATGAATGTAATAAATGTGCAAACAGATGTGCAATTTTCATGTTCCAGGTCATTTATATTGCCTTGTAGTTTTCTGTGTGTGACTGCTAACACTAACGACAAATGTGACCCTGGAGCACAAAAGCAGTCTTAAGTCGCTGGGGTATATTTGTAGCAATAGCCAACAATACATTGTATGGGTCAAAATGATTTATTTTTCTTTTATGCCAAAAATCATTAGGATATTAAGTAAAGATCATGTTCCATTAAGATATTTTGTAAATTTCCTACCATAAATATATCAAAACGTAATTTTTGATTAGTAATATGCATTGCTAAGAACTTAATTTGAACAACTTTAAAGATGATTTTCTTAATATTTCGATTTTTTTGCACCCTCAGATTCCAGATTTTCAAATAGTTGTATCTCGATCAAATATTGTCCTATCCTAACAAACCATACATCAATGGAAAGCTTATTTGTTCAGCTTTCATATGATGCATAAATCTCAATTTCAAAAAATTGACCCTTATGACTGCTTTTGTGGTCCAGGGTCACAAATGAGCAGAATTGTGATCCTTCCAACTTTCCTCGACCCACAGCAATCTCTGGACAGCCGCTACCGTCTCCTGTGCAAACAGAGGGAGGACGCCAAAGACTTAAAGGATAACCTGGACCGGCGGGAGCGCGTGGTCTCCACCTTCCTCTCCAAACAGCTGACGGACACACAGCTGCAGGAGTACCGGCGCTTCATTCAGACCAAGGCCTCTTTACTCATCCGTCAGAAAGACCTCGATGAGAAACAGCGTTTAGGAGAGGAGCAGCTCGAGGCCTTACTCTGCAGTTTACCTCCATCAGACTCCTGCACGTGGCTCTGTAACACCTGAAGGTGCCGTTTGTTTCACAGAGCCTGAGATGCTATGTTTCATTTGATATTTGTGAATCGTGTTAAGCTGACTTTCGAAAGCATGGAAAGCTTTATTTAAGAGCCCAGGAATGGTTTAACTAGAGCTTCAAGTAAGTGAATGACAAATGCACTCTAAAATAAATCACAGATCACTCTAAAACGGAAGAAAGAAGCACGTTTGATAATAAACTGCACATACTCATTAGGAACCATGAGCTTGGATATTGTAATGCATCCTAAGTGTTCATTCGTAATGATTTCAGGGCTTCGTTATTTCATTCATGCACTTTTGTCTAGTAATTTCATTTGCCACTATCATGTCGTATGTGTATTTAATGATCAAGTACTTTTTTAAGAATCTCTTTAAAGATGTGTCTGGTGAAACGACTGAAGTCTGTATTATGTAACTGCCATCGTTGCCAGTGTTGGGGAAAGTAATGCATTACTATATTGCGTTACTCTTTAAAAAAAAAAAAAAAAAAAAAAAAGTATCTAATTGTGTTAGTTACTTTTTGTGGAAAGTAATGTGTTACGTTACTTTTTTTCAGCTGGGCTGGGCTTGCTTGTTTGATTTTAATATAAAAAAGTAACTTTTTCAAATATTTTCTTGTTTAAATGAATCTGATTACGTAACTGGCGTTACTTGTAATGTGTTACCCCCAGCAGCTGAAGTTACACAACCCGTGGTAAAGTCACTGTAATTTTCTTAATTGAGGGCGGAAATGCATTTATCAGTAGCAGTATTGGTATCGGTGATACTGGCCTTCATTAATAATAGGCTAATTAGTAAAAAATGTTTATTAAACTCATATTTATATATACCATCTTCATGCTGTTTCTACATTAACTACATAAACATTCAGAGAACTTTCTCACAACTTTTCCAGAACTGAATGGGAACATTAGCAACATATTTTTGTTAGCTGGGTAGTTGTTTCTGTGTGCAATAATGAATCCAAATGTTACGAATGTTTTCAAAAACCCAAATGTTTTGGAACTTATCAGGGTTATGCTGGATTTATTTTGTACTCGTTTTGGAAACATTATTATTTCTGTCCACTTACTGCTGACCCGTTCACTTTACAAATGCACTTCGAGAAAAAAATCATTAGACCACCCAAACCAGCTTTAAATTGCATTTTGGGTTTGCAAAAATGATTTTCAATATGTCTAGGAAATTGAACTCTCAGAAATGCATTTCTCAGCGCTCGCTCCTCATTTTCAGTAGCATTTCTTGTGGAATACATTGTTTTGGCTTTTGCTCCTCGATATGCCATACACATAGTTTTCTGTCAAGTTCATGTTCATATGGCCTGAAAACAAAAAAAATCCTAAATCACGTGAAAGACCTAGTTCATCAGAGAGTGCTGTTTTGTCTTGCTGGTTTTCTGAGTATTGTGTTTTTTTTTTTTAAATCTTGCTGTTTCCAGCTTATTGTCACGTGGAATGCATAAATTCCATTCTCTTTATTTCATTGTGAATAAAGTATGTAAATGACACACTTCACTCTCACCGTGCATCTTACGTGTTTGTTTCACAAGAACTTGACAGATCATATTTTTAGCTGTATTGTGAATTAAGGCAAATGTTTCTGTAAAAAGGCTTTGAAATAACGTAGATTGTGAAAATCTGTGCTTCTTGAATAAAAATAACTTGATTTGTTTGATGTTTAGCCTAATTCAAATAGGTCATATTATAATTACATTTATTTAGATATTTCTAGCCTGTTTAAAGACTATTTGGCCATAAACATTTTTATATTGTCATGATGCATTAGACAATTTAAGGGGAAATGTCATGTAAACATCACGCAAATGTAAATAATGTCACAACATAATAAAAAACTTAAATGTTTGTTATATATACACGTCTCCAAGATGCTTCAAGAAACCTCCTGCAAAGCTCCAGTACTGTTAAATGTTTTAGGCACTTGTGTAAAAATGCTGTAAAATGAGGATGCTGTCATACACAGATTTTCTTGAACAGTATATATATATATATATGCTGTTCACTTTCTATCTTGTCATCCATGAGGGCCCATGTTAGCTTAAACTCCCAGCTTTCTTTTCCTCAATCTAAATTGTGGCTTTTTTTTATGAACCACTACTGATCTCAGATCAGCAATGCAAGGGTGATCTCTAAAACCAAGCACACATGGTCAGCAAGACTAACCGCATCTAGTCAGCTGAGTGTTAACCAGCTCACACGAGTCTGAATCTGTTCTTATTCATCGCTGGCTCAAGAAACAATATCTCATATATACATAAACTAAATAAAAGTGCAATTCATTCATCTTTGTATATGAAGACATTTTTGAGTAAGAAAATGTATTTATTGTTTAGGGATGGCATGATCATGGCATTAGAATATAAGATCCCATAATTACAGGTGTTCCTTGATCATGGCAGGATTATGCATGACTAAAAATAAGCACGTTGATCAGTATAAAACATGCCCTGAATGTGTTCAGATATTTGTTTTAACATCTACATTATGAAAATATTCTCTAAAATTTTGTCCAGCTTGTCACATCTCCTAAGTGAACGTGTGCAGACATGTGATGCCTAAACAGCCAGAAAAGAACAATTAGGCCGCTCCCAATGAGTTACGCCTTCTAAGACAAATAGCCCTGATAATAACCTCATGATTTACAATCATCAGTAATTGCTACATTTAAATCTGGAGGGGAAAAAACATCAATACACATATAGTACGCAACAATTTGGTAAGATTTTTAATGTTTCTGAAGTTTTTTCTGCTCACCATGGCTGCATTTATTTGATTAAAAATACAGTAAAAACAATATTATTGTGAAATATTACTATAATTTAAAATAACCATTTTCTATTTGAATATATTGTAAAATGACATTTATTTCTGTGATCACAGCTAAATTTCCATCATCATTACTCCAGTCTTCAGTGTCACATGATCTTCAGAAATCATTCTAATATGCTGATTTGCTGCTCAAGAAACATTTCTGATTATCGTTGATCTTGAAAACAGTTGTGCTGCTTCATATTTTTGCAATACATTTATTTTTCAGGATTCTTCAATGAATAGAAAGTCCAAAAGAGCAACATTTACATGAAACAGAAATCTTTTGTAACATACATATTTTTACTGTCACTTTTGATCAACACAAACTGTTCTTGCTGAATCAAAGTATTAATTTCTTTAAAAAGTGGTTTGAACGGCAGGTTATATCGTCATTCGTATTAAAAATAAACTTTAAATGAACTTTAAAAGAAGTCTTTGGAAGTACACAATTCTTCTAGAATCTCAGATTCATTTAGATCACAAATGTGACCCTGGACCACAAAACCAGTCATAAGGGTCTTTTATTTTAAATTGCTTTCCATAGATGTATGGTTTGTTAGGATGTGACAATATTTGGCTGAGATACAACTATTTGAAAATCTGGAATCTGAGGGTGCAAAAACATCTAAATATTGAGAAAATCATCTTTAAAGTTGTCCAAATGAAGTTCTTAGCAATGCATATTACTAATCAAAAATTAAGTTTTGATATATTTACGCTAGAAAAACTTAGAAAATATCTTCATGGAACATGATCTTTACTTAACATCCTAATGATTTTTGGCATAAAAGAAAAATAGATCATTTTGACCCATACAATGTATTATTGTTGGCTATTGCTACAAAAATAACCTTGCTACTTATGATTGGTTTTGTGCTCCAGGGTCACATATGTCGTTATTGCAAAAAAAGCCTCTAACACTAGCTTGCTCTATTCTTTTTCAATTCGATCTGATTTCTTTTTATTTGTTATATAATTAAACCTTGCTACAAATATAACCGTGCTACTTATGACTGGTTTTGTGCTCAAATATTGTCTCCAAAACAAACTCATAATCCACATTTAATCTCAGTTATGGAAAGACATCGGATACCAGCCTCAGTTTATGCAACACTGGCTCATCCCTCTCTCTGCCGTCGTCATTGACGGAGACGAACTGGTTTCTCGCCTTGTTCTTTTTCTTGAGCCCCACCGGATGAGCTAGGACGAGGTGACCTATAGAGTATTTCCGTGCATCATACTCTTCCCTGACCTGATGATGCACCTCCCGGTGGCCAGCTTTCGGATCTCCGAGAAGCTCCCTCAGCTCTCTGGAGACCCCTTTGTCCAGGTAGTGGTAGGGTTTCTTACCGCAGTTGTCCCTTATGTTCCCATTGGCGCCGTACTTACGGACTAGAAGGTCAATCAGAGAGAGCTGAAGGTGGATGGCAGCGATGTGAAGCGGTGTGTAGCCACCATTGGACTTGCCGTTGACGTCCACCCCATGATCGCTCTTTCTAGACACCTCAATAATCCTACACACCATGTCAGCGTCTCCACACTTGACGGCCCAGTGCAGAGCCGTGAACCCTGACATGAAGTCCTTCTTCTCTGCAAGCTGGGCGTCTTTTAACAGCAAGCCGTACACTTGATTCCACTGTCCGGCCGCAGACTTCACCAGCCACTCGTGCTCCACGGGATCAAGCGGGCAATGGTGCGAGTCCTTGGGCTCATCCGCTTGTTTAGGGGTCTTGAAGTGTCTCTGTAACTGCGGCGAGGCACCAGCGCAGGCCACGCTGTCTGTACACCGAGGCGAGGGTTGTAGCTCTTGTCCCAAGCTCTCAGTGGAAGGCTTCTTGTGATGATGACCCAAGTCTATTTGGGGCATTCGTAAAGGTAGAGCATACGGTTTGTTTGTGCTTGCTTCTTTCTTGGCAGCTCCCGAGAAATCGGGGTCAGGCTTCAGCGGGACGGTGAAATGTAAAGACCTTTTAGGTTTAAAGTCCACATTCTTGCTTCTTTCCAAAGCAATCTCTATTGGAGAGAGCTCTGTGCTGCCGTCTGAAGCCTTTGACGAAGATCTGCTCAGAGCTTTCTGTTCAGACTTCTTACCTTCGGCATTTTGGGAATGAGTGGATTTTTCCTTCTCATCTTCTTCTGGATGTGATCCATCTCGACCGCAATCTTCTCTTGGTGCGTTTTCGTCGTTTGAGGCTTCTAGTAAATGATGGTACACTTTCTTTAGGACTATATACTTGGCGTCCTGGAAGTCTTTCACGACAGCAATGTTGTTCACAAAGGTTTTGAAGAGATCTCGGTTCTGTTTCTTCTCCGCTGGATCACTGCAGTTTAGTGGCTCTTTGAACTTGCTCAGCAACTCCGAGTTTTTCACCTTTCCTTTGCCTTCTAATAGTGTGTTTAAAATCGCCTCTTGAGTCAAAGCCATTTCTTATTTCGTCGGAAATATAAACATACTGTAGCTCGACGTCTCTCGAGGACACCTGGACTGTCGCCACGCCCTTACCTGTTTTCCGGAATGAATGCAGCGACACGTAATAAAAAGAAGAAGAAGAAAAAGTAAACGTGGGTGGGGGCGGAGCTGTGCAAAAGTTTAAAAACGATTCTTAAATGAAGTCTTTTATTTATTTTAGCGTCATTTGTCAAGGATAAAGGTGTTCAGCTGAGCTAGTTAAATCATTTAGGAGCTAATAACTGTTAAATAATTGAAAATAAAATAATATCAATCAGTAAATTGCCTGTACTCTCCCATGCGAGTGTGTTTGAACGAACATTATGCTTGTTATTAAACGGTTTGATAATTACTTGCATAGTTCTTTATTTAGAAGCTCTACCTGGCCATGTCTTAAGAAAAGACATTCCTGAAGTCAGTGGGAGTTTCCAGGAAGAAGCCATATTGAGTTTTGATTTTGTGAAATTACGAATCCTAGTATGGCGAAATGTTATCTCATGAATATTAATTAGATCGTATCAACCTGCTACGTAATGATCCTGAACTGTCTAGTGACGTCACCTAGTTAATATTCAAGAGGCCGTTGAAAACCAAACGGCTCTGGGCGTGGTAGGATTCCTTAGTTCGGAGTTTCAGCCAATCAGCGCAGAGCGTCACGTTGCGTCATTTAAATTCATAAGCACGGCCTTCACCATAGTACGGTTCGTAAATTCTCCATCCCAACCACAGTGTGTGTGTGTGTGTGTGTGTGGGTGTGTGTGTGTGTGTGTGTGTGTGTGTCAGCGTCAGCGGACGGTGAGAGAGACGAGGGCAGGCAGACAGACAGCTCCCTTTCGCCTTATTTAAACACGTACATTCCTCATCATGGCGGCCACGGATGTAGACATATTTTCTGTAAGTACCCTTTTCAGTCAGTTCTTACTTCCAGAGACCCGTTTTCACTCAGATGTACACACAGTCGTTGCAGGTTTTCTGTAATGAATTGGGACTAGCACGAGCGCTACGCAAACGTAGCTAGCTTAGCCCAACGGACTCTATCTAACGTTACATTGAGCAGTAGTGCAATCTAACGCTGTTTTTTTATTGTGTGTATGTTTACTGTCTGTCTCAATGAGCTTGTTTTAACCATATAATGCATTTCTACATTGTTGACGAACGAAAAACGTCTTTTCTGAGTGTCTTGAATGTTACTTGTGATCATCTCTTTATTTACGCTACGGGCTGATATAACCTACAATAACAGATTTCGGTTTACTATTGGAGAATTTCAGCAAGACTGCAGCACGTGATTGCTTTTGAAGGCAACATGCTCACTCATTTAACTTACCACTTTGCTGACATCTTTAGTGTTTAACTGCACCCAAATCCCAATTGAAACATCACTACAACACTGAACAGCCGTCTTCATTCTCACCACAGTTTGTAAAGTTTGGGGCCAACATGTGGCCCTTCAGTTTGAGATCACAGATAAAGGGAGGATAAGGTGGGGGCTGCTGATATCTGATGGTCCCACAGTCAAACTGTGGGGTCTTTGGGGTAGCTGAGAATCTGGTTGATGGTGTGAAGGTTAAGAAGATTACAAGAACGCAGTAAGATTTCAGTCTGTGTAAATGAAACGAGAAGCAGGACGCTGTTGATAAGCCACCGTGATGAAAAGACCTTTGTTTTGGATGCTGGTAATCTGGTGCCACCAGCAGGCTTCTTAACTTCCTTGATCTTTCTTAATGTCCTTAAACAAGACTTCCTTGGTCAACAAGCTTCACCAGAAAAACCGTGCTGGTCGGTGCTACCTTTGAAGCCTCTAGGGGAGTTTAAACTGGTTTATACATTTGTGTTTTGAATGACATTAACGAAGATGTGTCATGAGTACTGATCCATCACCGTTTGTTCAGGATGGATGCCTGGGAATGCTCAGGGAATTATTTTCTACTCCTAATTTTGAGGAAGTCCTTTGGATTTGAGGGCAGCTAGTTTGTGTTAGAGAAGGGTAACTGTAGGTGTTTATAGTCTGTTGGGCAGGGTAGATAATAGTTCATGTTTGTGCTGTGGAAGTGAAACATGGTGCGTTGCCTTAAAAGTCTCTGTTAGACTTAGAATGCTTGAATACAAGCATTGTTTTAACCATATGTGAGTTAATGAAATGTAAGTGTGCTCTAGCAGTCAATGCCTTTTGATTAGAGGTTTGTGTGGTTTTAGGCGCCATATTGATCAACTGCATTGAGCCGTGGCGGGTCAATTTTAATTCTAATTGCATAATGGGCAAAAAAGCTTTAAGGGACAGTTCACCCAAAAATTACAATTCTGTCGTAATTTACACACCTGATTACTTTCATAGGTACCATATCTCTAAGATCTTAATTAATAATGACAGAATTTACGTTTCTGGATGACCTATCCCTTTTAATCTTAAATACAGTGCAGTCAGCGCAGTCTTTTTACTGAAAGATGCCAAGGATTGGAACAAGACGGTCCTGTTTAACATTAATTTCATTTATTGTATCATACTCTAGTTTCAGGGCAGGGCTGATGTAGTTACTGTTATGTAAAGCTATATGCGTTTTGCGATGAGTCAACATCCTGTTCGTGCTTAGATGCCACTGACATTAATAAACACCAACATCACATGATTCAAATGATAGAGGACCCTCTTTGGCAAGAACATAACGGCTTTAAGGGTGTGCATGTGTTTGTACTGTAATTTATGCATATTACGTACACAACTTACATGCAACTACACAGTCAGCTGTGCTTGTGCACACGGTTTCTTGAAGATCTCTTATAGAAAAGGCAGATATTGCTTTTTTTGTTTAGGGGCAGATGCCATACTGCGACCAAATCTAGACCATCTGCATTCTTCTCCACGTCGGCCCCTCCTCCTTCCATATCAGATGGGATGCCAGCGCAATTTCCGATGAGGGTTGTCGTGTCAGTTTGCTGAAGCAGGCACGCACATATTCAGGTGTATGTAGGGGGTGAGAATGGAGCTGTCCCAATTTGGCTCTTCTCCACTGTCATTCTGAGTAACCATCTGCCCTGAACAATCTGTGTTGTTGTCCTAGACTCTGTTGTAGATTGTCCATTGGATGGCGTCACTGTTCCTTGCAGAGTTAATGTTTTAAATCATCTTCTTATTAGCCACTGATCCAAATGATGGAAATTTATATCTACTGTAATTTGTCTTGAGAAAGTGTTCAACCTCGTCATTTTCCAAATCTAGATACGGATGGAGCCGTGGTCATTAGTAATGTAATGAACTGTTTTGAAGCTTAAAAATGGAAAATTGCAACCAGTACGTTATTCAAAATATCTCTGTCAAGGAAGAATGTAAGTCAGTGATGTTTGGAGTGATTGTTTTTTAAGTGTTTTTGGATGGGACCATTCTTTCGCAGAGTAACGCATGGAATGTTGAGTGTTCTGTCAGTATGCATAGGCCTGTCACTCTGAGGGCGGGTTGAGAAAATGTTGTTGTGTGGCCCAAAAGCTGCACCATTTTCTCTCGATCTACTGCCCCCTGAGGGGAAATGTTTCCCTTACGGTGGGGGCATTTGCTATCAGCCCCTATATGGGCATTGTTCAAGCCTTCCCAAGTTTTTTTTTTCCTCCTCCCTCCAGACTGCCTGTTTTCCAAAAACGCTTTCAGCCATTTCCCCTTCACATCCTAATGCTGGAGTGCCTCAGCTTTGAAATGACACAGGGGTCGGTGCAGGTTTTTCAGTCAGAATTCCTTTTGTGCTTGATGCATGTTACGCCAGCAGAACTGCTGCTTCCCTCAGTAGCGCTCGGTGATCGTCTCAGTGACATCATTCACCAAATATGTGCCTGCATTGAGGAAGAAGACGAAGCCAGACAAGGGAGGAGCGCATTGATTTCACAGTTTTAGGGCACCCATTAGTGAGATGAAAGCCTTTTAGTGGGCTTTTAGATTTGTTTGGTGCTGAATTATAGGATTTTAATTTGAGAGGCTTTGAACGACCGATTGTGTGGAATGGTGCATGGTTTAAAGTCGGCGTGAAATGCATGGAATTTCATAGCTACTTTCTATATGTCTGTCATAGATTCTTTCATGCTTGTTTCACTTTTTTAAAACTGTTTGATCCTAATGTTTAATTAAAATGTCTGCATCTGTTCAATGACATGACAGACATATTTCTGATTTCTCCAATCATTTAGTCTTCTTAAATCCTACCAATTTCAGTTGCATTCAGATCTGCTTCCATCCAATCAACAACCGATGTATAGAACCAAGTCCTGCTCCGCAATTGTTTCTTTAAAATAATTTTTTTTTCAATACAAAAGAAACAGTCTGATGGTACTTCTGTTACATTAAAACTTTTACACTTTGATTACCGTCTACTCTTACTTTTATTTACTTTTAAGTCTGTCCAAAGCAGAAATAAGGCTGTTGTCAATTCAAACTGCTTTTGTCAAGCAATTATGAAGTATAAAATAGATGCATATTGGAGTCAAGTTTGTATGTTTTTATGTTCAGATATGGTGGTGATCAGAATTTTATAGTATTTTTATACTAGTAATGATAATTAGGCCTACTGATTTTCTGTTATTGCTGATATTATAAACATGTACTGCATGGCCTCTTTTTAAACAAGAATGTCATTGACAGTAAATAAAATTGCATGCTTTAAGTCAAATAAAACAGTAGTTTTAAAACCTGGAAATCAAGTTTTGCTTGTTTGATCCCGGTGAAAAAAAGTCTCATTCTGCATATAAATATTAGCTTAATCCGCCAAATACCTATAATAACTCAATGTGCTATAAAATATAACCCTATCCCCCATTTGTCAACCAATGTGAGTTTGGCTGATGCCAATACAAACAACTAGAAAGTGGGTATGGTGGCTAAAATAGTCTTAGTATAATGTGGTGTCAGCTAAAATTATTTTGTTCTAGCAATATAGGTGCATGGCATTTCTGAATTATAATACAAAAGTCAAAATGTGCATTATTCATTGACAAGGATATTGGATACTTATTTTTTTTTTGTCCAGGCAAGCATGGTTATCAGTCAGTGCTAAGCTTAAAATGGCCCAGTTGTTG